AGAAGAATCTAACCCTTTTCTCCGCCACTTTATCCTCTTCAACTTCAAATTATTGTTGAAGAATTGAAAAATCAGAATCCTTCTCCACCAAATTCCTCCATACCTCTGCCGATCATGGATCTCCGATTACCTTTTCTCCTCTTCCTTTTCTTGCAGGCCGTTTCCGGCCTCCTCCTCGCCGCTGCGTCCAACGTTGCCTACCCCTCCGTCGTCGATACTGGAGTCGGTGATTGCTCAGTTTCCGACGGCGGCGATGGCAGCCTCACTCCTATCCGTCGAGAAGTTTACGATAATGGACGAATCATTGACATTAGTCATCGGTTTACTGTGGATATGCCGTCTTGGGAATCTGACGAAGGGCTTGGCCAGTTTCTGTGGCTTCCGAAGAGCATGAAGAATGGTTCGCTTGCTAATAACTCTGAAATGAAGCTTCCGGCTCACACTGGCACGCACGTCGATGCGCCTGGTCATGTTTTTGATCATTACTTTGATGCGGGATTCGATGTTGACACACTCGACTTGGGAGTCCTCAATGGTATTGATTCTCTACTAATCTTTGGTTTTCTTCGGTGTGGTTTTGTTGAACTTTTTGAATTTGTGGCTTTGATTCCATGGATCTATTTTAAACTGAAGCCTGTTATTTAAGTTCATACTCTTGGGGTTTGCTGATTGTCTCATGTGCTTGTTTCTTCAGGTCCTGGACTGTTGGTTGACGTTCCAAGGGATAAGAACATTACTGGTACGCATTGCAAGCGTTCTTCATTACTTTTCTTGCTTGTTTTTTTGTATGTTTATCACTAATTTAGCTTTACACGGCATCTTCAATGTCTGCAGATATGTATGTTCCCTAACTCTAACCCATCTGGTAGACCATGTGGATATATTTTGCAATTTTTTCTAAATTACGTTCTATCTACCAAGTAATACATAATCCAAAAACAAGAAATGGATGAGTCTTGATATTTATTTTGTAAGAAACGAACAATTCTTAAATGGGCGTTTAAACAATTTTTGGTTTTTTGTTGTTGCAGCTGAAGTCATGAAGTCTTTGAACATTCCCAAAGGAGTGCGCCGTGTACTCTTCAGAACATTAAATACTGACAGGTAAAAAATTTGTGAACAGAACTTTCAGTTCGTCACTTGAAAACAAAAATAATAAAAAATGGAAGCCTTAAGCTGTTGATGAATTATGATATATCTTGTTTGGTAAAGTAATTTATACTTTTATTTGAAGGTATTTGTTCTTCGAGGTTTTCATTTCATGGGCTTGTTATGTGGACGTGGTTCTTTTGTTCGTATTTCGAGCATCCAAATATGTATTTCTGAACTTCCAATGTTATTGTCTAGTTATCTAATCTTCTGCTTTGTTAGTCCTGATATTTGTTTTTATTTGTTTCATTATGAATCAATTTTGAACCCATAAAACCATGTTCATGTCATGTCTTTCTGATTTCTAATGTCTGAAAAGTATGACAGATCTATTAAGGCAACAGATTCTTAATCCTTACTTTCACGGGTTTGCCTATTTACCAGTTTTTCTCATATAGACTGTTGCAGTATCTTGTCACTACATGCAATTTCGTTTAGTTCAAACTGGAAGTGTGAGGGGAGGGGTGGGATCTACCAATATGTATCATAAACTGTACAGTCCAGATCATGTAATGAAGAAAATCTTCCATTCTTGAACAAAAAAAAAAAAAAAAACTTCACTTTGATCCATGCCAATGCAGAGGTCTCATGTGGAAAAAGGAGTTTGACACGAGCTATGTTGGATTTATGAAGGATGGAGCAAAATGGCTTGTAGACAACACTGATATCAAACTAGTTGGTGAGAGAACGGTTACTCCTGTTCATTTTGAAGTCAAATTCATATTTTTCTGAAAGCTCAATGATTCAACTAACGGCTCCTTCTATCATGCAGGAATTGACTACTTATCAGTTGCTGCCTTTGATGATCTTATTCCGTCTCATCTCGAATTTTTAGAAGGCAGGGTAAGGATTCTTTTGTTCTTTTTTTTTTTTTTTTTTTTTTTCTGTACTAGAGACTATATGTAGTTGTTCTTGTTCGGGGATCTTTCTTTTCCGAACCAATTTCAAAGAGTCTTCGATTTCTTTCTGACTGCTTGATTCAGAATTGGAATGCAAATTTTTTTTAGATAGTTTTTCTATGTAAAAATTGAAGTATACTTACTCTGTAATGAATGTGTACATATAAATTAATTACCTAGAATTTTAATCAAAGTTATGCTCTAGTGATTGCTAATGACAATTGCCTTTTCATCTTATGAGTCATCTTTTATCTAATACTTGCTATAATTGTGAAATTGCATTGGTTTATGAACTAGAGATCGAAAAAAATCCTATTGTCTAGTCAACTATAGTATGTATCTCTTTCCCCTGTCCCTTTCCCTTTGAAGTTAAAGTCAAAGATAGACACGATGAAGGGTCACTCCCACCCTGCCCCTATCACAACTCGTTTGGGAAGCTTCAATTGATGTTCTTCTAAGGCATCTTTTATAACAGCCCAAGCTAGCAGATATTGTACTCTTTGCTAGAGCTAGCAGATACTATTTGTAACAGTCCAAGCCCACCGCTAGTAGATATTTTCCTCTTTGGGTTTTTCCTTTCGGGCTTTCCCACAAGGTTTTTAAAACGCACCTACTGGGAACAGGTTTCTATAACCTCTACAACTGATGTGGGATCTCACAATTCACCTTCTTGGGGGCCTAGCGTCCTCGCACACCACTTGGTGCTGCTTTGTTAGGGAGAGGTTTTTATACCCTTTCCAACTAACGTGGGATCTCACAATCCACTCCCTTCGTGGCCCAGCGAGTCCTCGCTGACACTTGTTTCTCTCTCCAATCGACGTAGGATCTCACATCTTTTATTGTAGCCATCAGCATTTGCCTTTCTATATCTTTGTCATCAGGTGTACAGCATATTATTATTGACAACTGCTCATAAAGATCATGGCTTTCCTGCACCATCTATGGCTTCCTTTAGAGATACTGAGTAGTGAACAAGGCAAGATTAACACAAACACTAACACCATCTTTTGCTTCAGGAAACCATTCTTGTCGAAGGCTTAAAGCTTGATGGCGTCCAGCCGGGATTATATTCGATTCATTGCTTACCTCTTAGGTTGCTTGGCGCCGAGGGGTCGCCAATCAGATGCATTCTAATCAAGTAGGAAGTGAGTTCCATTCTGTTGGAGTTCTGGTCAAGGAGGGGGGAGTAGGATTACAACATTGTGCTATTTGATAGGCTTTCTAAGTTGATAGATTTACATTCAAATAAAGTGGAAATATCATCATTCTCAGATAATCAAGTTATAAGTGCGGAGACTGTTATATTATGTTGGTAGTTCCAGAGATGAAGATGACATTATTTCTGAACCATTGTTAAAGGTATTGATAAAATGATGCAAGCTTGTGCCATAGTTGGATATTAATAACCCTTTTACTCTAAATATCGTATAGATTTAGGGGAAAAGCTTATAAACTCATCACATGGGCAGGATTTTATGAGTTGAATTATTGTCGGATTTGAACCATCATGTTACCTCGTCCATCTTGTTCGAGTACAATTTTTTTTCGACGTTGCTGTAAGATAAATTTCCGAGCATTTTTCAAATGATGTTATCATCATTTAACTTGGTCCACTTGGTCCAAATGAGATTTCAAAAGGTTAGATGTTGGTTTTTTTCAACTTTAATAATTAATTTCATTAGGGTAACTTACATTCTTAAAATGGTAAATTTTAGCATTAAACCTAAAAAAAAAGTAAATTTCAATGATAGGTAAATAAATATAAAATTGTTATGATTAATTATGATGAATAAAATAAATATGTTATCAAATTTTGCATATTTTCTTTTTGTTTATTATTTATACATTTTAAATAATTGTTTAAAGTGCTGTGTGCTTTCAATTCAATTTCTATTTGTTTACTAAATTATTTGTAATGAGTTGTAATTCTTTTTTTAAGGGGGAAAAAAAAAACCATTATGATCTTATTTTTAAATAGGTAAGATTAGCAAAAAAAAAAAAAAAAAAAAAAAAAAAAAAAAAAAAAAAAAAAAA